TTATGTCAAGTTTTATAATATCAGCGCAAAAGGAAATATGTTTTACAAATAAGATTTTTTTTCAATCCATTCCCACTATCTTACGCTACCAATTTTATACTTATAATTGCATGGCTAAATGTTAACAATAATCTGTTCAATATGATAAGGCTTAAATATATGACATGTTTATTTGATGACATTGATATCACAAAGATAAAAAAATGATGAAAAAAATGTGAATGAAATTAGGCAATTATATAATTTGAAATTTTAACCACAGTCCGCCTTGTCTCGAGTCACGGTCCGCCCTGTCCCAAAATATGGTCCACCCTGTCCAAACATAAGGTCCGTCCTGGTAGGGTTCGCCCTGGAAGGGTCCGCCCTGTCTCACTGTCCGCTTTGTCCTACGACCATATGGGTTTGATGTCCAGTAACATTAAACAGCCGTAATACAAAAAAAGCAACAATGTTCAACAAACAAACAACAACAACATATTGTTGAGTAAATGTACTATTTTTTAATATATAAATTAAATACATCCAGTTAAAATGCTTTGTATTGTTGTAAGAGTGTTTTTGTACAAATGAACAGCATGTTGTTACTGTTATCTTGTTTATAAATGTATAATATACAGTAGATGGTAGTAAGTTACATAAATATGTTTATTTTGTACTCTTAATGTGTCACCTTCTCAAAATAAAGTTAATATTATTATCTTTTTTCCTTTTTTCCAGTTTAATTTAATACCAGAATGACAACATAATGACTGAAAGTGTAACATAAAGCTAACTGTATTTAGTACTTTAGAGCCTTTTCTGTAAATATTGTATCGGGTTAACGGCATATAGTCCTGGCAGCAGCAGCAACAACAACAACAAAGATGGCGGCGTCCATGACGAAATGTAAATTTTCGTGCTTTTTTTTTTTTTTTTTTTTTATTTTTTTCTTTTTTTTTTTTAGCAAGGAAGTTATGTGATAAACATCTTTTGCGATTATTGTCAACATCAAAACACCAAGAGACATAATATCTCAAATAATGATCCGGACTGAAAGAAAAACACCACTTTTTGGATTTGAAACTGTTCACAGAAGCTGAAAAAGGGAAGATAAAGGTCAGATTCGCTGAAACTTTGAAAGTGAAACACCTGTGTCCTTGGTTTTCGGCTTTCTTATGCACCGTGATAGTCTACGTCTAGCCCAATGTTTTTTTCTCAAATAACCTTAGCCTCTTGGTGTTTTGAAAAAGTAGCGCTAAAATTGCTATATTCAATACACCTATAAACAGTTTCCTAATTAGCAGACGACAGACTATTCTTATCAGTTGAGTTTCGAGTAACGTTATCTGGTTGCGTATCTCACGGTATAAATCGTATGTAAAATGGTCTGTCAGGCGGTAGGTTTAACAGTAAATTTTAGTACCTTTGGTGTCAAAAGATATGTTGAATTATATATAGTGGAACCCCATTGTATCGTGCTATTCATTGTATCGATCTATTTACAAATCTTTCGATTTTTTTGCAAAATGCAGAAGCTACTGATTGCTAACATTTACAAAAGTGTCATGAAAATCTTTCGCATTTGTTTTGTGCCATAAAAACGGTCAAAAACAGGTTTCCAGTACCGTCAGACTTTGTCAGATAATAAATGGACTTATAAATAATGTGCGTTCTTATTAAAAAACACATTTACTGACTTTTGAAAGTTCCTAAATTTAAAATCGCTGACATTTTAAAACAGACATCTTTGATTCTAATTGACTGAAAATATAGCACATAAAGATGCGTTAGCCTTCCAAAACTTAGATTAACTGAGCGCATTCTCACAATGCATCGATATAATGGCGTGACCTAATTCTTCAACCTGTTTGTTATGTCTGTAAATAACCGTTTATTTCAAAGCTAAAACTATATATCAGTGGTGTTTGCCATGTAATAATTTTGACAAAAGAATCAAAATAAATGATACAAAATAAAGATTCAGGGAAATTTAATGTTTTTTAACTGCAGTTGTGATTTATAGGTTAATAGATCGATACAACGGGGTTCCAGGCTACTGATACAAAGCTAAGATCCTGATCTTTTCATTGGTGTAAGAATTTTGAAAATCGGATAATAATTCACAATAAAACGACAGTTTAAACACGGCGTTATTTGTATTGTTTTACCAATAGAAAGATCGATTTTACGCGAAGTTAAGGGACGTAACTCGTATTTTTTCACTCGATATACCTTGGTTATTTACGTAGATCATATAGCAAGTGTTTATGGGTGTATTGGGAAGTACAGTTCAGATTTTTTTTTTTGCAAAACTGCATGATTTCATTTCAAAGAAAATTTCTATTTTGAATGGGCATCTTTAGGCTTTTATGTATGCATCTAATTTACAAGTTGAAAAATCACTGAAGCCCCTGTTTTTCTATCTAAGACGAGGAAGTTATATTCACAGGTGTTCGGCGTGTTGATTGGTCACTACCCCCGGGCCAACTCCCCCCCCCCCCTCACCCACTCTACAACCCTCCTACCTCTCAAAACCATGTAAATTGCAGAATTTTTCATTTCAAATATGTTTTAATATTTGGTATATGCTTTTAATTCAATTACCTTCCATCTCCCACAAAAAATAAAAAAATGATATATAAATATTTAGTAAAGTTATGCAACTCGCCGCTCATTTTTCAGCACTCATCTTAATAAATGAACTCCATAACTCCAACATTTTTCACCAATTTTCAATATTTTGGTACCAAATGGTAGGGAATTGATTACTCTTAAAGGAATTTAAGCTGTCATTACAATCATTTCAAGTTTTAAGAAAATATGTAATCTCGAAGTCACCGCAAGTGTAACTGAGAACAGAGACCTGACCGCTGGGTTTTTGTCAAAATTACCCAAATAAACGGCAGTTTATTCGAAATATATGATTATTTTATTGTATTGAGCATATAAATATGATCAAATTATATTATTTTTTGTAATAACTGTTCATTGAAAACATCATATAAAACTATAACGAACCGTTTTAATGATTTGTTAAATTCTCCGTCCAAAATGAAAGTACACATGTATAAACGGGTGTATTCGTATGGAGTATTTTCATTGGTTGTGTGAAAACCTTAGACCAATGAAAATACTCCGTACAAAAAAATAAAGAGGGGAGCACTCTGCAGAACAATTACTTGCATTTAGATTTGGAATTTGACATATCGGAAAACAGTTTGTTATAGTTTTATATGACGTTTTGATTGAACAGTTATTACAAATAATAATATAATTTGATCATATTTATACGCAATACAAAAAAATATTCATTCATTTCGAATAAACTGCCATTTAGTCGGGTAATTTTGACAAAAACCCAGCGGTCAGGTCTCTCTCGAGCTACACTTTCGGTGACTTCGAGATTACATATCTTCTTAAAACTTGAAATGATTGTAATGACAGCTTAAATTCCTTTAAGAGTAATCAATTCCCTACCATTTGGTACCAAAATATTGAAAATTGGTGAAAAAAAGGTTGGAGTTATGGAGTTCATATTAAGATGAGTGCTGAAAAATGAGCGGCGAGTTGCATACCTTTACTAAATATATACATATCATTTTTATATGCCCGAAAGAATTTCGACATATTATGTTATACCCCCTGGCGTCCGTCCGTCTGTCTGTCTGTCTATCTGTCCGTCCGTTAGCAATTTGGTTTCCTGAGCATAACTAAAGTTCCATTTGGCCCACAACATTCAAACTTCATAGGATGATTGCCCATACTGGGTAGAAGACCCCTATTGATTTTGGGGTCACAAGGTCAAAGGTCAAGGTCACTATCACCTTAAAACTGAAATCAGTTTCCGAAGCATAACTAAAGTTTCATTTGGCCCACAACATTGAAACTTCATAGGATGATTGTCCATATTGGGTAGAATACCCCTATTGATTTTGGGGTCACAAGGGTAAAGGTCAAGGTCACTATTACTTTAAAACTGAAAACAGTTTCCGGAGCATAACTTAATTTCCATTTGGCCCACAATATTCAAACTTTATAGGAGGATTGCTATTGGAAGGAGGTAATACTTTATTTAATTTACTGCGAATTCACTTATATTCATGGGCATAAAATTTCGTGGTTTTATCAAAGCGGGCATTTTCGTGGGTTCTTAAATTCGTGGATTTTCATTTTTTTGTAGAAAAATTTATTAACCTAATGCAAAGTAATCTTTTACTTAATCACCGAACATTTTTACTTACAGCATGTACACATCTTTACGTGTCACACAGCGCTTGTCAATAAATTTAACTCTTGCCTCTGGGCATAACTCTAATATGGCACAGATACTGTCGATAACTGGCTGCAATTAACTCATTTATGTGACATGATATGCAGCTCCATTAGACACACTGCCCCTGCAATTTGCCGATGTAAACATCGCATAATTTATACGACACCTGACATGTTTTAACCAGCGAGTTTAAAAAGTTTACACCCTGAATTGGTACAGTAACTACACGCAACGTCACAGCGACTGTGTAAATTTACATGCAAATAAATTAATCTGAGTAAATAACACAAGTAATTGTGGATCTAGAAAAAGTCGGACGGTGGCGTCTTTGATGTTTAGGTAATAGCATTCGCACAAATTCAGATTAAACATCTTTTAAACTGGATCATTTAAAAACGACAAAAGAATTTACATTCATCTGTTTTAGCGATTGTATATTTTATAGTTTGTGTACTAACGACATTTATATCAAAACTTTTTTTTAATTAATAAGAGCAAACTGACATTTTTTATAAGCGCTAATTATTGGATTGCCTGGGTTCCAATATTTACTCAATTATGTCAAGTATTCTTACAACGATCAAGTGTGTATATGCGACCGACATTTGTGACCGTAAATTGAGGACATATAATTATCGTGTTTTCTTTCAAGTTTCTTAAATATTGCAGACGGATTTAATCTGTCACTAACCTGATTATCTGTACTGTATATAAATCCATTTCACGAAAATCGGCCAGAAAAGAGCCGATGCATGCATGTAATATATGGAACAGAGACAGGGTAAGAAGTATTTGTTGGGATAAAATTTCGTCGGATCTTAAATTCGTGGATTTACCTACCCACAAAAACCACGAAAATTCGTGCCCCACGAATAATAATGATTTTACAGTATGTAATGTCTTACAAAATTAATGCTTCATCCTTAATATAAAAAAAAACACTTTCGGACATATAATGCTCCGCCTAGCGGTGCTCTTGTTTTAATTTTTTGTGGGAAATGAAGGTAAATGAATTAAAAGCATATACCAATTATTAAAACATGTTTAAAATGAAAAATTCTGCAGTTTACATGGTTTTGAGAGGTAAGAGGGTTGAAGAGTGGGTGAGGGGGGGGGGGGAGTTGGCCCGGGGGTAGTGACCAGTAGTGACCAATCAACTCGCCGTACACCTATGGTTATATTATAAACTATTTTCTATGGCTGTCATTGAATAAATCGCAATATCGATATATAATAAAAGCCAACGATCTGAGATAAGCATTGTATACGTCACTGATAAGAGACCTATTCTATAAATAGCCACATATCGATAAGTTTCGGACAAAGAATCTGGATTAATATACTATTTTACCAAATATGAAATTGGCAAACCCTTTGGAAGGGGGAAGTCTTTTAAAAAACCCGGTTCATTTTTTCCCGTTTTTAAAGGTGTCTTGGGATATTACATAACCGCTTCCTTTTTTACTGGGAACACCGATGATTTTTTACAAACCCGAAAAAGTTGAGATTTTTTCCCTTTTATGGAATCCCCTCCTATTACTTTCCCATCATTTAAATGGCCCGGCAGATAACTTAAAAGATTCCTTTGACCACAGTCTTCATATTTGGTTATTTGAGATTGGCCATGAAATAGTAGATGCCCCAATTGATTTTTGATGTCAAAGGGGCCTTGACTTAAATAAATCTTGTCCGCCCAATAACTTTAAGAGTCTTTGACAACAGTCTTAATATTTGGTATGAGGTTAGTCATGATCATGATTGATTATGCTTATAGATTTTGAGGTTACTGGGATCAAAAGGTCAAGGCCACAGGGACCTTGACTAAAAAAAGCTTATCCACCAAATTCATTTTCACCCAAAGTTTTTACATATTTTCCAGACCATTTAGGGACCCCTATTGATTTTTGAGGTCACTGGGTCAAAGGTCAAATGTCACAGGGGCCTTGACTCCAAAAAAACTCAACATGGCTTTGAAATGCATAGGTCAAACAGTCCTTCAATTTGTTATTTAGGTTGGTTTTATGACAAGAAGATGGCCCCTATTGATTTCTAGCGTGGACCAGCTCAAAGGTCAAGGTCAGAAGGGCCTTGACTAAAAAAGAAGCTTGTCTTATGCCCAATAACTTAAGAATCCTTTGACCCACAGTCTTCAATTTGGCATGGAGGTTTACTCATGACCATTAGATGAACCCTAATGATTTTTATAGGTCAAATGTCAAGGGTTCACAGGGCGCTTGACTGAAAAAAAGCTTGTCTGCCAAATAACAATAAGAATGGCTTTGACCGACAGTCAACATATTTGGCATGAGTTTTATTCATGACCATTTGGTGACCCCTATTTATTTTTCAGTTCATTGGTCGATTTCAACGGTCAAGGGTGCTGAGTTCAAAAGCATGGTCTGCCTCAATTGTAAGAATGCTTTGTTTCACAGTCTTCATTTTTTGGTATTTAGGTTGGTTGCTTATGACCTAGTTAGATGACCCCAATGATTTTTATATGGTGACTGTGTCAAAAGGTCAAGAGGGTCACAGGGGCATTTACTACAATAAGCTTGTCTGATTAAATGCTTAAAAATGCCTTGTCCATTATTATATTGATTTTAACAATTTCACCGTTAGAAGCACATTATTGTGGGGGTGGGGTTATTCAAGTCATGCAGTGGCCGTTTCAGTTTTAGGTTAGTATGTCAAGGTTTAAAATAACTTTGATTCTTTCCATAAAAACATTTGTTGAAACATTAAATTTGCAATTTGCACTGGCTTTTATACTACGTAGATTTGGCAGGGAGGTTGTTCCTGAGCTTATAAATGACCACTGTTTATTCTGAAAAAGTGGTATTGGGGGTATTAAACCGCCATGAAAATTGGGCAATTCTAGTTAATTCTTTTTCATTTTTAAAATTAATGTTTTGAAGAAAATGTTTTTTAATAAATTTTTTCTAAAAATTTGAAAAATTTAAATTTGGGTATCAGCAAAAAAATTTTGGACTTTTTTTCTTTATTTATATCTGTTGCTTTGATGGATTATTTTCTTGGGGTTTTCACCAGTAGTTTGGGTACTTTTTTTTTTTTTCATTTTTTCCCTGTTTTTAAAAAATGTAGCAGAAAAAAAAATGATTCATAAATTTTATCCCAATGAGGGTTGGAGTTACTTTCGATTTTTGGAAAGGATCCATTTATCGCAGATTTGCACCAAAAAACCAAGGAAAACCAAAATTTTAAATAAAGGTTCTGGAGGAAAAAGGGTTTAAATTTGGCCCCTTTTTTGCAAACCCTAGGCAGGGGGGTGGGAAAATTTTTAGGGGAGCTTAGGGGTAAATTTTGAGCGGTGAAAAAAATTTTTCCCTCCAAAACTGGAATGTATTTTTCCCTTTTTAAAGCTTTTTTTTTAAACACCCAAAAAAAGGGGAAAAATAAGTCCCAGTCTTTTAAAGCTTTGGAAATTTAACCTTTACCCCCTTCCCCCCCTTTGCAAGGTGGGATTTTACTGCAGGGTTGATAATACAAGCAGTTTTCACTTTTGACCCTTTGTTTCACTAAAAAAAGGGAAAGAGCATCAGTTTAATTTAACCCCAGGGGTCTTAAATTCTTTCCCTGGATTTTTTAAGTTAATTGTTTTATATGAAATTTGGGAATTGGGACTCCCAAAAATTTTTGGCAAATTTTCTTAAAAAAAGGGGGTTCCGGGGCCAATGTTCAAAAAATTTTTAAATGGCTCAATAATTACTTTGGGGTGGCAATTTTAAAGGGCTATGCCGGGAATTTTCAGGTTTTTTGTGCCCAAAATTTATCTTGTTTTAAAATTATTTTTTGTGGGAAAATTTAAAATTATAAAATTTAAAGGTTTTCAGGTTTTTTTTCCAAATTTACAACTTGCACCCTTTTAATTTAGTGTCTAATCTTTTCCGGGGAAAAAATTTTTTGGTGAGGTTGTTGTAAAAATTTTAAAGTTTTTTTTTTAAAATTTTATTGGTTTGGTTTTTTATTTAAACACAAAGCTTTTAAATGGGTCTTTAATGGTAACTTTCTATCATTTTTGGTTTAAAGGGAAAGACTTAAAGGTCCCCCTTTTAATGTATTATTTTTGGGAACAAGTAAACATCTTTTTTAAGGAAACTACCCATTTCCATAAGCTCCCTGTTATTTTGGTACATTAAGATGAATGGAGAAGAGCAAATAGTCTGGACTGGTTTTGGAAACCCACACGATGGTTTGAGGGGCAAGTGATTTTGAAGCAAGCAACCATTAACCCAATTTGGCTCCAAGAAAGAAAAAACCCTTTTTGAATTTAAAAAATGTTAAAATATCCACGTATACTCAAAAAAACCACATTAACTTTACATGGCATTTTAATTTTGGAAAAGAAATATTTAATTTTTATTTAAATAATTATATATTTATATTATATAAATATTTATTATATTATATTTATATATATTATATATTATAGAAACCTTTTATTTTTTCCTGAATACACCATCGCTTTTGTTTTTTCGTTTTCCACTTGGAGATTAATTTGTTTTAAGTGTTGAGTTTTGTATGTATTTGCAGGTGACATTTGCTTTTCAGATTTCTAAATTATGTCAACTCAACAGAAGAGCCAAGGCGGAGGTTGTTTTAAAACATCTATACCAAATGTTTACATGGACCCTTCTGAAATTTCTGCTTCTAGTTCAGAGGATTCTGAGTTTTCTTTTGGGAAAAGAGGAAACCCGTTTTATTCATTGTGACTGTTTTGTGATATTTTAAACCAAAAAATGTTTTACGTTGGGGAAAGGAAGGGGTTTGGGTGCGGGGAAAAATTCAGGGAAAAAAATTGGGTATTTAACTCCCCTTGTTGTAACATGGCCTCTAAGGGACATGGGGCTTTTTTTTTTACATTGTTTTTGTACCGGTAATACCGGGAAAACTTTTTAAAAACTTCTCCTTATTTTCAGTTAACATGTTTTAAGCGGGCCAAAAGGAAAATCACAAAAAAGGTTTGCTTAATGAAACGGGCTCTTTTAAAACAAAGCATGATATAAAAAATCAAAAATTTAACATGACATCTTTCTTTTTGCAGTAAAAATGTTTTTTTATTTTTTTAAAGTTTTAAAAATTAGAACGTTTTTAATAATCTAAAAGGGTTTTTTTAGGGGTTTTTATTGGATAAAAATGTCACACGGGAAATTTTTAACTTCATTTGCATATGCTTAAAAATGTTTGGGAAAAAGAGTTTTTTAAAATTTATATATTGTTTTTGAATTTTGACATTTTTAGTCATTACGAGGGGGCCTTTTTCTTAAAAAACAACTTGGCAGGTTAAAAGTGGTTGTTTTAAAGAAAAAATTTATTTTCAGTTTAAAATGACTAATTTGCGGGCCCCTGGTTGTGTTTTACCAAAAGGTTTGCTTAATACCATTTAAAGAAAACTAAGGAGAAAATGAAATTGGGGGGAAATTTTTTTTTGGGTTTTATAAAAACAAAAATTTGTTAAAAGATGTGGTCGCTTGGGCAATATATATTTCTATCAAAAGTTTATTATTTTCAGAAAAAAATATTTTGGTGACCATCTACCAATATTGTTAAAACAATATTGATTAGATTAAAAACATGGCTGCAAAGAAGTGTGATTTGTTTTCCCTACATATGATGTTATAGGACCAAATTTAAAAATCTTCTAAGAATTTAAAAAAAATTTATTTTTTAAATTTAAAAAGTTTCATTTTTTATAACATGGGAGTTTTTTGCTAAAGCAAAAGATGGTCAGTTTTTCCCCCAATGTATAGAAAATTTAAAATTTGTTAAAAACTTTGCCAGTTATAATTTTTGTTATGAAAATGATCATGTTTCATCTGTCTGAAAAAATCACTGCGTAAAATGTTTAAAATGAAGTTTACTCTTTAAAAGTTTTAGGGTTCATGGCTACAAAAAATGCGGATGGGCCCTTTCCCTTTGGGGGATAATTCCCTTTAAAGATACACAATAGCTTTTTTGGGATTTAAAATTGTTTCGCAAAAGACAAGGTAAGGGGAAGTTTTTTTTCACCCGCATTATATTAAAATTATTGAGATATTTTGGGTTACCCCCGGTCTGCCCGTAATATAAAGACTAGAAAAACATTTCCTTAACCATTGGGCCCGGAGTGATGAAAACCAAAACCCAAACGAAAAGTGATTAAAAAAACCCCTTTTTTTTGGTGTTTTTCAGGATGTAAAACTTGCCTGAACTGGCACCCTTGCCCCCGAACACGATAAAACCCCCGGAAGCTAACAATATAGAATTACCTTGAAACAGTATCTTCTTTCTTAAAACTACTATTTAAAATTTAAAATAATTAAACTTGGAAAAAAAAGTACCTAAGGGTTAAAAGAATTAAGATTCAAGCAATAGTAAACATGTTATTGTGATGTCTGATTGATTTTGCAGTATTTATCACCATATTTCTACTGCGTTACTAATGCGGTAGGGGCTAATTTTGCATATTTTCACCTCATTTAGGTAATTTACATGGAAATGTAAATGCCATTGCAATGTGTGAACTATGAATTACTTTTTGTTCAGTTCACAATATATTACTTTTTAATACTTTTTCAATTTTTTGGTTAAGATAAACATGAATCTGGAAAAATGCTGCTTTAAAACTGTTATCATATTTGAATATTAAAAATCAATATGAACTTAATACTAACTTTACAGATATTTGTTTTCAGGTTGTTGAAGAAGCATATAGAGTTTTGAAACCTGGAGGGAGATTTATGTGTCTAGAATTTAGTCAAGTTCCAAACCCTGTGATCAGGAGGTAGGCTTTGTTTACTAATAGGGTGCGATTAGCGTGAATTACCCCAAAATTATTGCTCAAGTTACCTCGCCTGAATTTTTCCCTAGTTACCTTGCCTGAATTTTTCCCTAGTTACCTCCCCTGAATTTTTCCCTAGTTACCTCGCCTGAATTTTTCCTTAGTTACCTTGCCTGAATTTTTCCCTAGTAACCTCCCCTGAATTTGTCTCTAGTAACCTCCCTGAATTATTTCCTTTACATGATACTTCACAGATTTTATATTTTCTGCTCTAAGAAGTTTTTGCTCCTTAATCTGCTATAACTTTTATTCCACTGCAACAAGTTGTTTCGTGAAATTCTAAAATTAGAGCGACAGAATTTTCAAACTCAATTACCATCAGATGTTATTACAGTAATTATATAGGGCAGCAAAATAGAGTTGTTATTCAAGGAGCCACCAAGAGTAATAATTCAGGGGAAATTACTTAGGTAATAATGCAGGGCAGGAAACTAGAGAAAACACACACACACACACACAACAAAAAAGCCCCCCAAAAAACAAGACACAACAAACAAAGTTAAAACACTGTGTGTGGATATATTGCAGTTCACAAGTCACTAATATGGTAATTTCTTTTTTGTTCCATTCCTACCGGATTTATTATATTTAATTTTCATTACAAGTGATTCAGCTAAAGTTTTTCAATATGAGTTTTTATTTTTAAATATTTATACACATGTCTATATTTCAGTGTGTACGATGAATATTCATTTCAAGTAATTCCAGTACTAGGACAAGTTTTAGCAGCAGATTGGAAATCCTATCAGTATCTGGTTGAAAGTATAAGGCAATTTCCAAATCAGGTAAATATTTACCTGTAACCTTCTAAATTTTCTAAATGGGCTTGCCCAGCTTCCATTTTTGGAACTGTCCATTATCAAGTTTTGGGATATCAAGATTGGTGAGCCAACAGTATAGAGCCTGGTCAGACTGAATAAAAAATAACAACAAAATATTTTCACTTAGGGATTATGTCACAAAAACTTTATATATTACCTGTAAGACAAGTATTGCCACATACATGTATGTTAATAAGCAAAGTATAAGAGAATTTACTTGTTAATTTATGTTTCATTTTTTCATAAGTTAACTACCTGAAGTCCCTTTCCTTAACTTAGTTAATACAATATAAGTAAACCTTTGTTTCGGTGTTAGGATATCTTTTGGTTTCTGCAAATTAAATACAGTATTTAAATATTCTTACCAGAATATATATTTATTACTGTGTTGAAACAAAGTATTTTCCCACAAATATATATATATGATATTCTTGCATTATCAGACAGGATTATCTACTGTTTACACCCGTGCTAGAAAACTCTATCTTACACCCTCCATGTAAGACAAGTCACGTGCTTAAAATGACGTCATTGCCGCGCTCCTTTTATGAATGAATTGCGTTCTTAGGATGACGTCATTTTACCGTTATGAATGAAGTTGTAATTTCATACGCTACTATAAGAAAAAAGTGCGTGTTTTCATAATTTCTGTTCTGGTAATAATTGATATGTAATATGCAAGAAAAAGAATCAAACACTGGCTGTTGGATAATACGGGTAACTGTTTAGCAGAAACTCGGCAGAGCCTCATTACCGCCGTAAACAGTTATCCTCGAGCTTGATATTTCGGTCTGTACCGGAAGCCAGTGTAAGATTCTTATAGTACATATCTGAACATGTATTAAAACTGCATTAAAAATACTGTTTTGTTATAACGTCAGTAAAAATTTAAAAAATCTTTGCAAGTATTTAACATAATAAAAGTTTTATTACTATATACTTACCAAATAATTCAAACTGTATTTCCGACGTTGAACAACTTTAACATTTTTGTTTTTCTTTACAGAAAGACTTCAAATCACTGATAGAGTTGTGTGGTTTTAAGGCAGTGACATATGAAAACTTGACATTCGGTGTCGTTGCAATACATTCTGGATTTAAGCTGTAACATTACTGCATTATAGATTATATTCTTATTTTAGGAATTAACTAATTAAAGTAAAGTTGACACAGTCAGTGTGAACTTAGAATTGCTTTCTAACAGTGCTGAATATATATATGAAGGAATATGAATTTTTATACCCCCAAAAACGAAGTTTGGGGGGGTATATAGGAGTCACCCGGTGGTCGGTTGGTCGGTCGGTCGGTCGGTCGGTCGGTCGGTCGGTCCAGACGTCCGTTGCATTTTCCTTGTCCGGACCATAACTTGAAGACTAATGGTTGGAATTCAATATAACTACATACAATGGTCAAGCACATTGAGAGGAAGTGCAGTGCACAAGAACCATAACTATATCTTGACTAATTACAGAGTTATTGCCCTTTGTTACTTTTCCTTGTCCGGGGCATAACTTGAAAACTACTGGTTGGAATTCAAAACAACTTCATACAATTGTCAAACACAATGAGGGGAAGTGCAGTGCACAAGAACCATAACTCTATCTAAAGTAATTACAGAGTTATTGCCCTTTGTTACTTTTCCATTGCTTTCTTTTGTCCGGACCATAACTTGAAGACTAATGGTTGGAATTCAATATAACTACATACAATGGTCAAGCACATTGAGAGGAAGTGCAGTGCACAAGAACCATAACTCTATCTTGACTAATTACAGAGTTACTGCCCTTTGTTAATTTTCCTTGTCCGGGGCATAACTTGAACACTACTGGTTGGAATTCAAAACAACTTCATACAATTGTCAAACACAATGAGGGGAAGTGCAGTGCACAAGAACCATAACTCTATCTAAAGTAATTACAGAGTTATTGCCCTTTGTTACTTTTCCATTGCTTTCTTTTGTCCGGACAATAACTTGAAGACTAATGGTTGGAATTCAATATAACTACATACAATGGTCAAGCACATTGAGAGGAAGTGCAGTGCACAAGAACCATAACTCTATCTAGACTAATTACAGAGTTATTGCCCTTTGTTACTTTTCCTTGTCCGGGGCATAACTTGAAAATTACTGGTTGGAATTCAAAACAACTTCATACAATTGTCAAACACAGTAAGGGGAAGTGCAGTGCATAAGAACCATAACTCTATCTAAAGTAATTACAGAGTTATTGCCCTTTGTTACTTTTCCATTGCTTTCTTTTGTCCGGAGTATAACTTGAAGACTAATTGTTGGAATTCATTATAACTTCATGCAATGGTCAAGCACATTGAGAGGAAGTGCAGTGCACAAGAACCATAACTACATCTTGACTAATTACAGAGTTACTGCCCTTTGTTTCTTTTCCATTGCTTTTTTTTGTCCGGAGCATAACTTGAAGACTAATGGTTGGAATTCAATATAACTTCATACAATGGTCAAGCACATTGAGAGGAAGTGCAGTGCACAAGAACCATAACTCCATCTTGACAAATTACAGAGTTATTGCCCTTTGTTACTTTTCCTTGTCCAGAGCATAACTTGAAAACTTCTGTTTGGAATTCAATACAACTTCATACAGTTGTCAAGGACATTAAAGGAAGTGCAGTGCATAAGAGCCATAACTCCATTTTCACAAAATACAGAGTTACTGCCCTTTGATACTTTTCCTTGTCTGGAGCATAACTTAAAACGTACTGGTTGAAATTCAAAACAACTTCATACAATGGTCAAGCACAAAAAGAGGAAATGCAGTGCACAAGAACTATAACTCCATCTTCAGTATTTATAGAGTTATTGCCCTTTGTTCCTTTTCTTTGTCTTTCTGGACTTATTACAGAGTAATTCAATAAAACTTCATCAATGGCCAACCACATTGAAAGGAAATGCAATATACAAGAACCACAACTATCTTTAATTGCCCACAACCATAACTCTATATTTCAATTCTTTTACAAGATATTCTGTTACTAGTAACATCCTCATTTCCGAAGCAGTCTTGTGGGGGTATTAATCACATTTAGTGATAGTTCTAGTTCATTTGTAAAGATGTATGAATGGAATTGCCATATTGCAAAATATTTGCAGATATATGACTGTTATATTGTTAAACTGGAATTAGACAAAAATAAAGGACCACAATGGTTGAGTAGTTAGTGACTTCCAATTAGTTTTCCCTAGCTGCAGTTGTTAGGAACTAATCTAATTCTTCATTTAAGGGTGATTTACAGCTATGACACAGAAAGTTAATTATCATCCATGGTTGAGTGATTAAGATAGGGATTTGGATTTTCATGTGAGGAAGCTATCGAGTTAGCTTACAGAATTGCAGTGGTCCTATTCAGGTGCCTATTTGTTTGTGAAATAGTGCATGGAAGGGCACCTGAGGTCTTTCTCCACCAGTTAAATTGGAAAGTGGCCATTTAACCTGTACTGTGTTTATGCAATTCAAAACCCAACCAAAAAAAAAATCAATAGACGATTAACAGTTCCACTTGGGTCACTGAAATAATGAATGTTAATGTAAAAAAAAAGGCATTTGTTTTTATGTTGACTTAACACATACTTTGTCATTTCTCCGCAGACAGTCCATGTAACTGGCTTTCATGGATATGTTTGTGTTACTTAAGTATTAAGTACTAGTAATGTTGAACAATGTCACATTTTAAATTTTTCATTTGCTTGAATATTGATATAGAATATGCTGATATCTTGTTGGGTTTTTTTTCCATACTCTAATCAGATTAGATTTGTTACCCATTTTGAAACATAAGTATTTGAATGTGTGATTGATGTACATGTTTTTTTATAATTGAAACAAATGTGTACTGGAAATTGTTGCTTGCATTTTAAACTATTAAATTTTTTTTAAAGCTTTATTGATCTTTTGTCATCTTTGTAAGAGTTGCTTCCCTTTTGAATAATTTTAAATAATTGACTGTTTGGTAAGAGTTATTGTCCTTAGTACTGTTGAAAGCCTTATTCAATCATGATTGAGTTATTGTTGTTTTCAAAGTTTAATATAATTGATCTGTTGGGTAAGAGTTATTGCTCAATGTACTTTTTCATGATCTTGATTGTAAGATTATTGCCCTTTGTACAATTTAAAAAACTGAACTGTTCGGTAAGAGTTATTGCTCTTTGTTCCGTTTCAAGTGTAATTTAACCACAATCATGATTGTAAGAGTTATTTCCCTTTTCAACATTTAAAATGATTGAACATATTTGTAAGAATTCTTGTCTTTCTCATGTTTAAAGTGTGATTGAACAGTGATCATGATTTTGAGTTATTGGCCCTTTCTAAATTGAACTTTGATCCGATTTGCAAGAGTTTAGAGTTTCGTTAAACTCTTATCAATTTATGTCCCTTTTGTACATTTGAAAGTGTATTTTAGTCTGCCATGCAGATTTTGCTGGATCATTTTCCAATGCCTCGTCAATACATCTGTGAATCCTCCACACTGATTATACTTTAAAAAGATATGTGTAGAAAATATGCTATTTTTAGAAAATTACTGATACAGAATCTAGGAATTTCGGGCCTGAATTAAGCTGAAATATTGTGCTGGAATTGGGTTTATCCAACACAAGACAGATTTTCTTTTATCTACCTTGTACAGTTTTGATATGCACAATGTAATTTATTAAATACTTAACAAACTTGTTCGTACATATATTGCTCTGATAAGCTTATATATATGTTTATATAGAAAATTACTCGTCCATATATTGGCATATTTTAATATCTAACTTTGCAGAAATGTATTGACTTCACTTATATTGTATACTTTTTACAGAAATTTGATAATAATTAAAGCTTTGTAAATAGTGGAAGGATTGCAAAATTGTAATTATTGTCTAGTGAAATAACAACCAGTATCTGTTGGGCCACTTCGTCTACAGAATAACGCAAGTGTTGAAGATTTCATAAGCCTGACTTAAGGTCTTATGGATTCAGCCGGAATGATGCTCAAATATCCAAGAACGCTTTTTCAAAAATCACAAGCCTGCACCTTACAGATTAACAATGTCGGCTTGTTTACTCAATGTGGACCTTGCTGATTGACATATACATGTACACGCGAGACTGTACAATACTTAATGAAGCAAGTTTTTATTTTGAAGTCGGAAATGCGCGAAATCAAGACTGCGCGAACTTACTTATAATGTTGTTTGCCCAAAATCGCATGCCAGCGAAATCCAATATCACATCATCAAGTTATGAAAGACACCGGCCATTGAATACAGTATATAAACAAAAGTATAGAAAACATCTATTTGTAGCACCTAAGTGTTCACTTACAGCAACCAAATTTACAAGACCACACATAATTAAAAAATTAAGCAAGATGAACGACGATCATTGAATACTGCACTTCCTTTCACTGTTAACATGATTTAAATAATTCAAGAACTACGCAGGTAAAAGTCTTGACGCATTTCTCTAGTAATCGGTGCTTGTCAAACGCGCACACAGCAAGCGCGTGCACAATATAGAGCAAAAATGATAAAACAAACAAACAAATAAAAGCAACTCGGTGTAATGTTTTCTAAAATATTTTTTATCTATTTCATATAAAAGAAAAATGAATAGAATACATAATAGGAAATTCAATGATCTTTAAAAAAAGTGAACGAATAAGTTAACAGAAACATAAAAGAAACTGGAGAATCGCCAATAAAATTTGCATTGTGAAAATCACAGCTAATAACTTACATAGCACCGTTATTGAAAGATCTGAGAGCGAGTATAGGTAAAAATGTCTATCTATCTTCTAAAACGTATACCAGCAACAGGTTTTGTGCAGACAAATAAAATAAGAAATATAAAATATCTGTAATGAGATCATGGCACGGTTTGGTGACGTATCAAGTCAAATCTACAAAGATTGGCAAGATTTGCAACACTTCCGGTGTTCTTGGAAATATACATGCATATTTACTGCGGAGCTGATATAACATAATAAGCGCATATTCGAAGTATATATAATTGATAATTTGTACCAGTTTCTTTTCATTTTATAAACAAACATTTATATTCTTGTAAATCTAAAAATGATTGTCACATTTTTGTTTCCGTAAAATGTTTAAACATGTTATATATTGCACTTGGAATTGTAAAAATGTATTTTGCAAAACAGTTTGGTCACATTTTATCCAGACTTGAATAAAAGAATGGCAACTTGTCCAAGGTAGAAATAAATGAAATGTTTGGTCTCGTGAGTGACATAGCTTCCAAAGTTTCGGCCAACGATGCAATGCCAGGTTGGGTTGTACTTTTTGTCGAATTCTTTCTTGATGTAGGCAGCAATGTCCTTTTCAATGTTGTATTTTTCAAGAGCCTGGGTGGCACATTCGACTGCATCATTTTGCATGTCTTCTGACATATCAGCATTTTTTATAACGGCTTTCCTGTCAGTCATTTTGTCAATCTGAAAAAGGAAACATAATATGTTCACTAAAGCGATCAGTGACCATGATAGCCAGTTAAGCAGCCATTGACCAGTTAGTTCCCTGTATGTCGCGGCTACTTTGTAACATGTTGCAGCTACTGTGTAGCAGGAGACACAAAAAATATGAACAGATCAAAACGCTGATTTATTCCGGAGTCATAACTCAACTAAAAACCATTCAACTGAAAATTCGTTTATCATACGAAAGTGCTTCAGGTTGGTAACTTTAAAAAAAATCACAAAAAGAGCCAAAACTGACAAAAAATCATCATGGAACTGGAAAATGCCGACGATTTCATCATTTGCACAAGTAGACTTGGTACTGTTCATTCCTGTAAAGTTTGAATGAACTTGCACCAGTAGTTTTTTTTATGAGTAGTCCGGACAACTTTTATGACGGACGGACAGATGAACAGACGAACAAATAGACGACGAAGTGATCCCTATACATTGTGGCAGACGACATAAAAATGGGTGCATTATTGTTAGGTATAAGGTATTTGAAAGTTGTTTTTTTTTTTCTTTTAGAAATTTCTATCCGCATATAATGGTTGGCACAATTCCAAAATTTTCAGAAATAATATCAAGTTTGGTATTAAGATGTTTGGAATTTTTTCGTGATGTAAGCAAAAATTCAGCTTTTTTATGACACAAACCAGGAATATCTTTGTTTTTGATGAAATGCAAAATGTCTAAAATAAGTTGATGAATAGTGGCTACAGAATTAGTATTTATATTATTATCACTATTGCATCATCATTAAGTCATAATCATTATTGTTTTGTAATAATAATAGTATTTATAAAAATAATAATAATTATTATTATTATTAGAATGCAGTACAATACAATATTCTTTTATTACGTCAAGGTTAAAGTAAATTTTGTAAAAATAGACATTACAATAGTCATATTTTAATCATTGTTTTAATTAAATGCCCATCACCTGCAACAGATAGGAAATTTGGTAAAAACTGGAGATCTGCAGTAGATCCGTAGGACTGAATTTGGGTGCCGAATAGTTAAAGTTATAATACCGTTCAACGATGATATTTTACCCTACAACTTAGTTTTCAGAAATTATCACCTAAATCATAAGTATATCCTCATTAATGATGAACTGCTATACAATTTTAATCTTATTTCGCCGAAACACTCGGATGCAACTGGATATAATATCGCCAGTTTTTGAAATCCCCGCCATTTGTAAAAGCTCTCGGGCCCGATCGGTTTCATTCGGAATTAACTCATTTGCATACGGAAAAGTTCGGAAATGCTATAATTAGAAACAAGTTCGGAAACGCTATAATTAGAAACGTCAACAAACTTGCGACCCCGATATTAGGAGATATAATATAAATGACGGATGCAATTTTATTTTATGTTTTGTAATTAATAAACGATATGAAAAGCTATTTATTAGCTAAGGAATGTAGCTTATATCCTCGTAACGCGTTACAAAACAATCGGAAAAAGAACAAAGTCTGAGACTCTCACTAGATCTACAGTAAACAAGAAGATGGAGCGTTGGTCATGTCTATGTCGTACGGTTGCTGTGGTTATTTGAAATCGGTAAATTAGCCGTTCTTTATGATCTGTTCGTACCAGAAATAATACGTACCTATTGCCAAGCTTCCATCGTAGTAATATGGCATACAGTAGTGTGCGTTATGTAAATATTATGAAACACAGACACTTGGGCTTTGGTGCTCAATCTGTATTATATTATAGATGTTGAAATATGATTTTTTTTCAAAACGGCTTATATTAAGTTGTTTTTTTTTGTGGATTTTAAAGGCGTTTTGAGCTCCAAACCAAAGTGTCTGTGTTAGGAAATTATAATGAAAAGAAATATAATTTGGCAATCTGGTGTAATAACCTGTATAGGGTGTTACCAGATTAAATAACCAGTCAACTGCATGCAAAAGCCAATACATATTTAACATCTACAGACTCAACCGTTTGATATATGATAATGTATAATTATACTTCAATTTATAAGCAAACAAGAATGGAAAAAGGACCAAGTTAAAGTTCTGATGCCTATAATTTTGAAAATGATCACTCAAGACCTGATTTTTATGTTAGCCTTTTGTAAAAGTGCACATTATGGAAAATAATGTACTAATGAGAATTTTATTCCAATACAAACACAGTGCAACCTGTGTAAATATTATTCTGTTAACAATGAACAGTTGCATTCCACTGAAAATAAGATTGCCAAGAATTAAATCCTAATCTCTGGATTATGTACACCGGTATGGCATAAAACCATAAATTTCACCACTTTATGTTCAAATGTTGAATTCTGCTAAAGCTGGTGCTAGGGGGGCATGGAAGGTAACTTGCACTTTCCAACAGGCTCACCAAATAGAGCCTGCAACAGTTTCAATTTTGTCATTTTGGGCTTTCTTTATTTCTCTATTTTCTGATGTCAAATGTACTTTTTTAAAATTCAAATAAGATCACAGATTGTAACAATGTTTTACAAATACCTTTCAATGTTAATTTACACTACACTTCTTTTAGCACGTTTCAGGACACATTTTGGAATGTTGTTAAAATAACAAAAACACAGATAAATTGAAACATGTATTTGAACATTGGCAGTAAAACAACAATAAAATATTTTCAAATGAACAGCATATCTTCTTTTTCTTACTCTTAAAATTGTACACCAGTGACTTCTTTACAGTTATAGTTTTATTTTTTATTCAATCCATGCTGTCTTAACAGGAAGAGAAAGTGTGAAGATGGCCAATATTGTAGAAGGAAATAAATAATATCTTAATTCCAACCAAATTGTATGAACTTGAGCTAACCCCTTATGGGTTTCTGGTGATGAAGGATATTATGCTTAAGCCATTGTGACCTTAGACCTTATTAACTCCAAACTAATGCTTAATTACTAATCTAAGCAATGTCCCTGGAAATGTTCAAAACCTTGGGACAATGAGTTTACATGTCACTGAGACCTTGAACGTATAATCAAATGGACAAATCTTAAAACTAATGGCAATCAGAATTTTTCCTTCTGAGTTACATAAACTATACCTTACAATGTTACACATATTTAAAGGAAGTTAAACTTTATGCCATCTTGAGCTTTAAATCTAATTACCTCAAAATCAGTTGGTGCCATTATCTGGGGAAGGGCAATGTTCCTACCAAGCCTAAAAACTTAGGCTTACCCCTGAATGTAAAATATTGTTTGTTCCCCACTCCCGCGACCTACCCACAAATAGCACAGCTACCTAAAATATCTCATTGCCCAGGATTTGTTTACTAAAATGAAATCAGAGTGTCAATGAGAATGACATCTCTTTAACTGTCTCGTGATTTTTTAATTGTAAATATACAAATGTTGGGATATTTGTTGATTGAAACTGAAAATATGGTTCTAAATTTTCAAGTAAAACAGATGCTTTCATGCATTCACAATTTGTTTGAACTACATATAATTTTAATGAAAAATAAAACAAGACAAACATTTTGAATAACTAGGAATGTGTCCATAGGACACGGGTCCCCCCCTACGCGCCACTGTTCTGTCAATCTTATGACTCTAGGTCAAATATTTTTTGAAAACTAAAAATCTTTTACTAAGTAAAGGGCAAGAACTTTACAAATACTGAATAAATTCACAAGTAAACCCCAAGGTGCATAAGTACACATGCTGACCAACATTCTTTTAAACATTCAGGCCTACAAGTGATATACTTTTTGAGCTATGCATGAACAAGTTGAAAATTGTAAATTATTCGATAAATTAAAGTGAACCTGTAGTAGCCACTCCTATATTGTCTTTCTTATTTATATTTTATCCCTGTAGGATATTAATTATGGAGTTAAATGATAAATTATTTATGTTTGGCTGAATGAAATGAAAGAAAACATAAATATTTTTTTAGCTATGCATGAACAAGTTAAAAATTGTAAATTTATACTACTGTAAGTCAAGGGCAATAACTCTAACAAAACTGAAAAAAATCCACATAAAAGTCCCAGGTTCATAGCTTCACAGTGATGTAAATCATTATTCCTGTAATTAAGTGATGTTGATCATTATTCCTGTAAAGTTGGTTGATTCTCACTCAAGCACTCAAGGAACAAATAACAACATAATTAAACGTTTTTTACTAAGTCAAGGGAAATAACTCTACAAATACTGGATAAATCCACAAGCCAAACCCCAGGTGCAAACTACACATGCTGATCAACATTCCTGTAAAGTTTCATGACTCTAAGTCAAATACTTTTTGAGTTACATGCGACACAAGTTGAAAATTGCAAAATTTTACTAAGTCAAGGGCCATAGCTCTCAAAATACTAAATCCAGACGAAAATACCCAGGTGCACAACTACACATAATGTTCAACATTCCTGTAAAGTTTCATTGCTCTAGGTCAAATACTTCCTGAGAAGCATGCGACACAAGTTGAAAATTGCAAAAATTCAATGGCAGTAACTCTGAAAATACTAAAAATATCCAGATGAAAATACCAAGGTGAACAACTACACTTGCTGATCAACATTACAGTAAAGTTTCATGACTCTAGGTGAAATACGGACAGACGGACAAGGGTAAATTTAAATGCCCGCCAATAAAGTGGGGGCACAAAAATAAATATTTTATCAGCCCACCTAACCTATCTAAACTGGAATGGGATGAGGGAGTAAATACAAAGATAATTTTAAGGCTTGCCTTGTTTAATTGAACAAGGATTTTATATAAAATGCCCCTATGACATTGGTCTAATTAACTAGATTGGACTACAAACAATTCATGGACTAATAACAATTGATCTCCGCGAGTCGGATGTGTTGCCTTGTGAACATTATAGTTTAGGAGAAATGGCCAAGACAAAAATAAAATATGAAAATTAACACAGGGCAATAAAGTTAAAGCCACTAATAGCAAATAACAAGCAAAGCCAAAATTTAGACATTTAACCTTGAAGGTCAAGGTCAATTATGAATGAAGGCCAAGGTTAGACAATACACCAAGAACTTTAAAAGTTATGAACAAGGTTCAAGTTTGCAGAAGGCAAGGGCAGCAACCTCTATTTCTTTTTTCAAAAAAAAAAAAAAAAAAGAAGAAAAGCTGAGCTAAAGTGAATGACATAGTACATGTATATCAAAAGATAAAATTGAATAATACTTTAAACTTTGTTACTACATTAAAGCTCATAGCAGCACTTATAGTTTAATAGATTGGATAATATTTTGCACTTGTATAAAAAGTAGTCATTTTTCTGACAAAATATTAAAAACAGACCTTGAGTCATGACAAATGAATCAAGAGAATTTTTTTCGAAACAAGATAGATACAGTGCCATATCTAAAAAGATATTTCATAAAACTATCATGAATACCAGGTGTTCAATGTCAGCTTAAATATGTTTGAATAGTTGGGCAATCAGTGTAACACACTATTTGTCATTCTTTTCCATAAAAAGTCAATCATATCTTGATTTATGTTCCTCATGAATGGCTCGGGTAGGCTTCGGGCTAACTTGGGCCAAATATTTTGAAAGTCTGTGGGGGTCATCTTCCTCTAACTTTCTATTTTATATATCCCCTCCATGTCACTAATTCTCAGAGTTATAGCATCATGAAAAATGGTATAATGATACTTTTTCTTCTTCTTTAATTCATCCAGACTCGCTGAAGTCTGAAATGAGAAATTAACAAGCCTGTTATAACAAAAATCATAAGTGTATACAATTCTCAAAATGCATTACATGTAATTATGTCCTCAAAATTTATTAGTCAGGTTATTCAGAGACTGCAAAATCTCTTTTGATTGAAATTAATATTATATAGGCAATATAAATGCATAGTGATCACACTTTCAATAAAAATATCTTATAATTCATAGAGGCAGGAACATTTAATACTAAGATATGCAGCATTTATATTCATATGCAAAAATGAAAAAACAAATGTTGAGAATCTATATGCCCAAAGAAGATAAAGCACAACATTTTATTTAGGTTTTGCCTCTTTATATGTTTGAAGAACTGAAATCTTTCTATTGAAATAAACAAAGAAACATGGTACATCCATATTAGACTCAGTACAGAGTACATCTATATTGAACATTATTATAGTTCCAAACAATTCACTTTATTAACACAAACTGGACACTGTTTTCTTTCATTCTGTAAAATTGTAAAACATTACATGTTGGGGTTTTGTAAGTAGCATACCTAACAGATCCCCCTTGTTGGTGATGTATGGTCTATTTGCATGTATATTATAATCTATGGCTGCTAGAAGATTGTGCATCCTATAAACAGGTGGTGTGTAAGCAAATCTTTTGGTACAATACATCAAGATGTGCTGGTGAAACCCCTCCATGCCAGCTGTACTTCTAAAAATGAATACAAATAATGGAAAGATATTTTCATTTAAATGATTTCCTTTAACATTAACATATTCATATGCTAGATATATATGTATGTAAATAATCATCTTTGAAAAGATTTTACACAGCTCTATCCTTCAATTGATAAGTGCAATAAAGGTGCCAATTAATTTATACATAGTGGTTGTAGGTCCATTTGCGTTAACATATAAAGATGCTGTAAACATTGAACATTCTATAATCAATAGACATATGAGCTTTGTATTAATCAGGACATAATACTCCTTTCCAGTTAGGAAAATAAATCCTTTTAAAAATTTCACTCCAAACTGCTAGCATATCTTAACAAAGATAGACATATCTCCTTTGCAGAATTAATGGTTCCAACATTGGAGCCATTGGCTTCAACTTTTTTGATTGGCCAATCTGGTGGTGCAAACTAAAATTGCTCCAGGGGGAACCCTGTCAATATAAATTTCTTTTATTGTACCTGATGAGAACAAACCTGCAGTTGAGATATTATGTCATCTTATTCAGAACACCAGCCAGATCTTTCAGACTATGTGCATCTTATTTCCTTTGCAGCCATGGTTTGTTCTGGTTTCTAATGGGCCATGATTGTACTAGGCATTGGTGTATTCCATCATCTGAAAACAGAATCCATTCATGCTCAATAACTATAAGATTGATGCAGACACTAAAATATATTATTCCCTGAAATAAAATATCAAGAAAAATAAGCATGCATTAAAAAATGGCAAAGAAGTCAGCCTTCAACAAGTTTCATGAAACATTACTAAGCATTTCACATTTATTTTACATATAAAATGCTTACCATAAACTTATGAAGTATTCCACATTATGCATCAAAACATCTTGCATGCATTAATTTTCTTGCAACAAATGACAATTATGTATTGCTATCTAGAATTTTATCTAAATATTTCTTGAGCAACAGAATAATCATATAAAAATATCAAACATTCAAACAAAATCAAATATATAATAATTGTTTACTTACCATGAATAGTTTATAGTCTGTAGCAGTTTTATAACTAAACCAGAAATGAATGGTTGTGTCTCAATTCAACTCCAAAAGGATTTTATTGGCTTTCTTTAGTGCTACCTGAAGATTAAACCATAACTTGCTTAAGATTTAGAAGAAAAAAAATCAATTGTGGAATTCCTTTTCATTTTAGCGAAAAATATTCTACATAAGAATTGTATATATTCAGTCTTCACCAACATTTACTATAGGACATGAATCTGCCCTTGTTATTAACAACAAATACAGCAGTATTGCATGCAGTGATAACACCAGTCTATTAAAAATTCTTAGTTTAAAAGGGATATAACTTAAAAAAATATTGCTTTCACAGTCATTGAATTTAAGATTTTGAGTTCACTGGCCCCAATTCCCGTTTTGAATTTATTCTACTATATATTTAACTACATTTTCTTAAAATTTACACTGGCCCAAACTAATTTTCACTGGCCATGGGCCACCAGGCCAGTGCTATATTCAATGACTGCTTTCATAAGAACATGTATGCTCCCCTGTTTAACAATTACACTTTGTCCTGATAAGCAAGTCTTTCAAGTTTCATGTTGATACATTTCAAAATATTTAAATAATGCAATTGTATGCCATCATAGCAATCTGACATAGAATGTAATAGCTTTGAAAAAAAAAGCTAGAAATTAGTAATTTATGATGTTTGATTGTAACTAAGAAAGTATACTCCACTTTTGAGGAATCTGTAACTATTTTGTTGTATGGTCTGAGAATTGACTATATAACAGAATCCTTTCCAAAAACCATTTATGAGCCGCGTCACGACAAAACCAACATAGTGCGTTTGCGACCAGCATGGATCCAGACCAGCCTGCGCATCCGCGCAGTCTGATCAGGATCCATGCTGTTCGCTATCAGTTTCTCTACTTGTTATAGGGTTTGTAAGCGAACAACATGGATCCTGATCAGACTGCGCAGATGCGCAGGCTGGTCTGGATCCATGCTGGTCGCAAAACCATTATGTTGGTTTTGTCATGACGCGGCTCATATATATTTTTTCACAAGTGGATTTAAGACCTACAGTATAATGACCCTCTATTATTTTTTCACCTCAGTGAACAATTACCTATAATAATATTATGGAGTCATACAAATATCAAACTCATCATTTAAGATGACACCAAAATCTTTCAATTGGACCAAAATTAACCATGTAATGCATGTTTTTTTTCTTCTTCTAATACAGTATTATATGCCACTTAAAAAATGTCATAATTGTTTAATATTTAAATCATATGAATATCTGATCATGATATATATGGATCACATGTTGACATGTATATATCCATTAATTGGTTCAATAAACTAATAAAAAAACATGAATTCAGCAGTATATAAGATTCCGTGGCCGAGTGGTTAAGGTCGTTGACTTCAAACCACTTGCCCCTCACCGCTGTGGGTTCGAATCCCAACAGGGACTTTGGATTCTTTCATGTGAGGAAGCTATCCAGCTAGCTTACGGAACGTCGGTGGTTCTACTCAGGTGCCCGTTCGTGCCTGAAATAATGCACGGAAGGGCATCTGAGGTATTCCTCCACCAGTAAAGCTGGAACGTCGCGATATGACCTATACTGTGTCGATGTGACGTAAAACCCAAAACAAACAAAATATAAGATTAATCAGTTTTTATATGAATTATATAAGTAAATTAGTTATGCAAGTATATAGTTATATAGCAGTTTTGAAAGGTATTATTATAACCTGTCACTTTCGACAAAAATGGTGTACTTACTCTCCTCTGCATATGCACTGAAGTCCAGGTCATCTTTGATGTCCCTGGTAGTGGTATTGCAACACATGATGATGATGAAATTGACTTATTTCTGTAATTGAAAATATAGCATACTAGTACCATGGCCTAAAATCTTGACTATTCAAACCAATTACAATACATGAATTGCTGCACTGCTTATAAGGAAGAAGGGTTGTCAATAAGAATTATCTAACGTTTCCAGCACAATTATGGTTATTGTCCATGATTATTTTTCAAATTGTGAAATGCTGAAATTTTACTGCAAAAATGATTCAAATGAGACAAAAATATTGATTTTTGTGCGATTTTCCAGACAACATTTTATTTTTTCTACTTTATTTCTTTGAAGATTCAACAACCCTGGATAGTAGATCAATATATCAGACTTACGGGCTTGTTATTGCTTAAATGTCGGTCAAGGTTGCCCAAAAGCAAAAATATCTCAAAATCAAAGGACGTCACATTTATAGGACTACCCTTGATAGTTGAACATGCTTTGAAGAAATGCCTGTTCTGCTAGTCAATAGTTCTAACCCTTTTTGAGACACATGTGGCTAATCTATTTCACAGCATTGTAGTTACTACAGCTTACAGTAAAAAACAATAATGTGATTGGAAAATAAAATTTATTCTAAATATAATTTTGTTGTGTCTTAAATGATTCTTAAAAGATAGTGATTGGTCATCTTAAACGATATTACAATGGTTACAATGAACATACGCCATAAAATTGTAAAGAATTAGGCTCAGCCGATCTTTTATTTAACCTGTTATTGTTAACAATTTATTGGTACGAAAATTACAGTGAACGAAAACTTGATACACAGACGTGGATCGGCAAGCTTAATTTCTTTATCATAAGTCAAAACCATCGTAAAAACTATAACACAATATCTGTGTTTATATATTCGTAGGTGAAATTTTTCTATAAGTAGATCTAAGACAAAGAAAAAATTAAATGCAAACAAAAACGATGATCACCTCACCTGTCAATCAGATAACAACTTCACGGTCGCTTTTGGTTTTAATTACCCTTTTTAGAACTTTTCATCGCTTTGAATCACTACCGGAGTATATCCTTGATTGAATTAAATCACAGTTTCTTCCCACTTTTCGCTTTTTCCTTTTCCAATCTCAAAATTTATTTCTCGTATAGGTGACACACCTTTCGTATTGTCCGCCATTATTTTGGTTTGGTAAATCATATCACGTGACTCAGATCCGAACATTTACGGAAATAATCGAAGGGCTTCCCGCCAAAATATAAATCTTATTTGACTAACCCAGTCAAATAAGAAAATGCATTTTTTAGAATGGTCAGAAATGTTACGGAGAGCGTTTCTAAGTTGGAAAACTTTGTCAATACTAGTTAAATAATGCATTTGATAACAATAAGGCGTTAATTTGACAATCTGTTTTGATGAATTTGACCAGGAATATAACTTTAAATAAAAATATTGAATAAAGAGTTCTAAAATCTTTGAAAATAAGGGCTTCTTTACTGTAATAAGTGTTTAAATGTTTGAAGATGTCATCCTAGACAGTCATTGTTTGCATTCATTTAATCACTGCAAAATTTCAGTCATACATTTTTCCCAATTTTTAACAAAACATCGCTGAAATTCCCAAATTCGATGGGTATCGAATGGGTCATGTTCCCAAAATCCTTGAAAAAAAAACCTGCCATTCATCACATCGGAGAATTTTGATATTAAAAACTGACTGAACAGCGAGCAGTGCTGCCCATGGTAAAGTTTGCCTGCATGGGCAGAATCAGGTGCAGCCAATAATAAAAATATGCCAAATACATTACTTTGATGTATTATCATTATCAGTAGTAAGTCTGGGATTTTTTTTATCAAATTTGCGCTAAGACAAATCTTCATCAAGATAAAATTTCAGAAATATTTACTTCACGCCATGCGTGGGCGATACTGTCTTCAGATAGGCATCAATGCTGTAGCAGGTGAAAACTGTTTTATGTGTCTACTTGAAATCTCTTGGATATAAGCACTGAACCAAAACAAACTGATAAAATATTTATTTATTCATTTATTCGTTTATATATTTATTCATTTATATATTTATCAGTTTATTATTTAATCTTATTTATTGATTTTTAAATCATAGAAGTTATAAAAATCGCAGTGTTGTGATTTTCCGCTCTCTATGTAGATATGACTTTTTTGTTAAATAAAATACAATTTTTTCAATAAAAATATTCACCTGGAAAAAATGCAATTATTTTACAAGTTTTGCTATTTTCCCCAGCCTTCTTGTACTTTCTAAGCTTATGTTTCTTATTTTAAAGACATGTGTTGGTAAAGTAAAACCATGGCTTAATCTTATATTCAATGTACATTATGTTCACTATTTGAATTGCAGTTAAATCATTACTTACATAGGCCTACATGTGCATGTACTATAGACTGACCAGCGCAATCATTTATTTAATAGCGGATTTGCCAAAATATCCATTAAAATGACTGTCAGGACATATGCTCTTGCAATTAGCCGAGGTTCCTTATTATATTTTTATGAAATTATGACCGCATTTTCTACATTTAAAAAATAAAATTCAATTCTGCAGACACTTTTCTAATTGTATGTTAAACATGTGAATGTGAAGATGCGCTGCGTTGCCTTTACCCCTTTTCAAACAACATACAGTGTACTTGCGTGCATTTGGCCTGCATGCAGTGTGTAAATTTGGAACCATTAAAAAAATTGCTTCGGATTTCAGGCGAGTTCAGAGCCTAGGCTCGCTTTATACTATACAGACACTGAATACACAAATTATCTACCTTGAATTAGATCCAGGAAAATACTAGAATAACCACCTAATATTGCACTCGCACCCTTGGATGTACCAAATTTATTTCCGAAATGTCTTAATCAATTAAACGGAACAGATTTTTTTAATTAAGACGTGTACATTAGATCTAATGTATTGGGAAAATTGAAGAAAAAAATATTGGTAAATATAGAAAAATGAATATAATACTTACATTTTATAAGTCCTACGTTATTATTTTTACACAAGCTTTGTCTTGAAGAATTCTTAATTTATTAAAGAATCTATGATTACTGAACATGATTATGTTGAGTCATGTTGCAACATTTTATGTAACAACCATTGGATACAGCATCCTTTGTAAATCAGTACTTTCTAACAACGCGCATTATTTACACGGTGCACATATAGAAAATTATCTTGGTGCAGAAGTGTATATTTATTAGTTATGAAGATTTTTCACAGGTAATATGGCCCTTAAATTTACGTTGGTAACGTCATTTTTTCATTGGATTATCATGACGTTTGTTTACGGCTGTAGTCGATTTACATGGCAGTAGGGCAACATAATCAGTTGCTATCCAGCTAGCTTACGGAACGTCGGTGCTTCAACTCAGGTGCCCGTTCGTGTCTGAAAAAATGCACGGAGGGACACCGGAGGTCTTTTCCCACCAGGAAAGCTGGAACGTCGCCAAATGACATAGATACTGTGTCGGTGTGACGTAAAACCCAAATGAAACAAACATAACCAGTTAAAATCTTCAAATTAGATTCATAATCAAACGAACTTTCTGTTGTTTTTTTTCCTGTTTCTTTTCTTTTTCTTCTTAAATTAAAAAATGAAAACTACAACATTCGTGTATATAATTTATATGTAAGTGACGTTAAAAACAAAATGTTTTCAAATCATATTTAAATAAGGCTATCTACAAATATATCATTATTTATGTTCAGTTCATGTAAGTAAATATATAAAGCTCGTATATTTGTATTATTGCATATAAAAATATTTTGCTAACATTCTATTTCTTTCGTTTACAACCACAGAACTTTGAAATTCTAGCTAGAATTAAGAAATATAAGCTTAGCTGTATATAGTCAACTAGTTATAAAAAGCGTTTTGAACTTTTCAGTGTTTTAGATATATTTTAATATACTTATTTATCACTCATGTAGTCAGTCACACACATATATGGTGACAATCCCTCATATGTATGTGTGTAGTCTATGTTTAATGAGGGGGCATCTGCCCGGTAAGGCACAACAAGCAGCTTTCACTGTCGAGTACGTCTCCCGGGCATGTCACCAATCATGCATTTAAAGGGTGAATTTTGAAGCACAAATTAATGATAATTTACCTATATGTAATTTCCACGGAGTATTAGCCAGAGATATGAATTTTGAGCCAGAATATGTCACCACTGTACGGCGGCCAATGATAACCTAAATGTACAGTAACCTGAGACAATAATGAAAGAGGAGGTAGCCCTTAAAAAGGGCTATTGGTGCCAATCTACCTCAAAAATGGCGGAGAAGATTTTTTATACATGTACAACACACCGTGTGTATCTAGCAACGCAGCAATATGCAAACGAGCACAGGAATTGTGTATTTATATGACCTAAACGAGCACCACGGAAAGTAAATAAACCAGTATATTTTATTGTTAATCAAATTGAAGGAAATGACTTAGCGCATACGGTTGCTGAGACATTATATTTTACAGCATTGTACATATCCAGTTTTTGCACATTTCTGCATTAAAGAATATACAAGTTCAAGGTGACACAATCAGCGCTGACTTCTTAGTATAGGTTAGAGTGCATATTGGGTGTTCTTCGTAAATAAGAAAGCTAAAAAGGAGCGGAGCTTGCGAAGCGACCGTAGCTTTCTTATTTACGAAGAACATCCAATATGCACTCTAACCGGCTTAGTGCTCCACCCACTTGCGCTTTATAATATAAAACGTCCAGTTTATATCAAATCTGTTCTATTAAGATTTGAAACCTGAAAATTTGAAAAATCCTCGTCGGTGATTGGCTTAAAAAATTAGCGAGCACTAAATACTTTTAACAATCATTTGACATGCTTTTATAATCCATTGTTAGAACAATATTAAGCACCTGTTTGCCCTTTCTAAAGAATACAAAAAGTATTCATATTCATATTTAGGCTTAATGTTCAATTTAGTCGATTTTACACTATATAAGAAAGCAAACTAACTGAGTAAATCCCAGGCCGACAACATACCGTGACAGTAAATTTCTTCCGCCCTTGCCATTGGCTAAAAATATCATCTTGTCTGAGCCAAATGATTGCAGGGACATTAATAACACGACATTTTGTACGCCTCTTCAAAAGAAAATCAAAATTGCAATGTCACTTTTTTCTTACTACAGAGCTCCAGATAGCGTGCGTATAAGCGTAAAATACGCATAGAAAATCTAAAATACGCATCACTTTCAAAATTCGTGCGTCACAGTTACGCACAACAAAATGAAAATACGCTCGTATGTCAAAATGCGTAAAAGAATAGAAGTGTAAACATTTGATATGTAGAAAGAAAATGTTTTGAGCATAAAATACAATATATTTCCATTTAATTGCATTGAAAACTAAAAATTCTGTTGTCAACAACGCATGTTAAAAACGAAAGTAGCAGGAAATACAGAAGGGAGGTAACTCCCGTAGATCTATCAACCTGTGAAATTATTGATGAATTTGTGCCAGATAATCATCATAGGAGTTAACACATTATTAAGTTAGTTTAGGCATCTATTGACATACTCAATATAACCAAAAATATATTTTAATTTCTTTAACTTTAGTTGTTGGAACAAAATAACATGTTATTCACCTGCAGTTTTGTACTCAATATTTTCGTACCCAGTCTACAGTTACGGACAATTTTCTCTCAGACAAATAATTTTTTTTAAGGAAAGATAAAAAAAATCTTGTTTATGTTTGTAATTGTAAAGGTTTTTTCTAAAAAAAGAAAATAAACAAACAAACAAACACAACAATAAGTTTAATTTGTTTATAAAAAATGCAAAATGCTTTTTTGACATATTTTTACCCCTTAAGTTTTTCAGAATTTGCATTTTACCCCTCACTCTAAATTTTGAGGGGTAAAAACCCCTTGGCCAAAAAAATTATCTGGAGCTCTGTTACTATAACTTTTAAGGGCATGAATGGTAGTGACATGTTCGGGGTCGGTACTCTCAACGTTAGAAAGAGCGGACGGGCCCTCATTAACGTTAGATACTATTTCGGTACTATAAATAGAAGAATCGGTATCATATTATGTCAACATGTACTTATATACTGCTTGTTTTGGTTTAATACAATAATGGCATGGTTTCATATAATGTAAAAATGAACTAATATATTGATAATTTGGTTTCATACAAGGACATCTGGTTCAATACATAGATACCTTGGACCATTATATTGAAGAATTGGCAACACGTAATGTCAGAATCGCCTTATACATTGCTGTTTTGGTATATAGTGTAATATAGTGTATTTAGTGTAACAATGCATGGTTTGGTATGTAGAGCTATATTGGTTTTTTATTTCATATAAAGTTATATATTTTCAATTTTTTATGGTCGACTTAAAGCCAGGCCTGTCTGCAAGTCCTTGCAGTATAAGA